GTGCGATCAACAAAATCTCAATGCACTACGGAGACTAGACATTGGGTGCAATACGCTCTCTATCTGAAGACGTGAACCATTAAATTTTTTGGAAAAGTTATACGTACACCTGAAACGTAATGAAGTACAGGAATAGAGAGAGTGACTACAATACGCTCTCGACCTGATATAGTGATAACGTGTTAGAAGGTAACAGGTCTACAGTCCCACCGTACCCTTCCGACACGACTGTAGACCATTACATTTTTTTGGAGAAGTTATACGTACACCTTAAACGTAATGAAGTACAGGAATAGAGAGAGTGACTACAGTACGCTCTCGACCTCATAACGTGAGTACAAGACACTCTCCACCTGATAACGTGTTAGTAGAAGGTAACTGGCAACATATCAATGGGTTGCCTTACCGTGGTCTAGAGGAAACGTCTTCGCAGCAATATTTTCCCTCAAGCGCATTCAGTCGCCGACGCGACATCGTTTACTGGGCCGTTCCAGTTGCGGAAGACATTCGATTCATCGGGCCAGTTCAGCAACAGGGCCGTGGACACACAGGGGGCAGAGGAGAGACATTGTTAGTGGACAAGAAAATAATATGCAGTGGCAAGTGGCGAGTGCCGCACGGATGTCAAGTTGTCATGCACAATTCAGCTACTACTTACGGTCCAGCTAGTCCTGCCATTGCTCGCTCGTCCTGGTTCCTCCTCGTTCGTCTTCCTGCACGTCTGCTCTTCTCCTTCCCCACCGTTGGCTTTGCGGTACGGGGGTGCCGGAAGGAATTCCCACCATGTATCCATTTACATGAAGTCCCACCATGTCTCCATGTACATGTCCACGGCCACGTCAGCAGTTTGTATAGTATCGGAAGGAGTTCCCACGATGTCTCCAAAGGCCTAGAGCGGACGTCTTAATAAAGATCTTTGCAGCAATTCTTTTCACCCTGCACATTCACTCCGCCGACACGACATCGTCGACAGCGTTTACGGGGCCGTTCCAGGTGCAAAAGATCCACGTCAGTAGTTCTCAACTATTTCGCGTACGGGATAGTCGCCGCGACAGCGTTTAAGGGGTCGTTCAAGGTGCAAAAGGCATCCATCAATGGCACTTTGCAGTACGGGGTACGGAAAGGGGCCTCCTCGTTTGACTTCGTCGACTTCTGCATGCAGTTCTCCTTCCCGTCGACCGAAAGGGGTCTCCTCGCAGTTGTCCTTAGGCCTTGCCGTCAGGTCCACGTCATGCAGTTCTCAACTATTTCGCGTACGGGATAGTCGTCTTTGTCGTACGCGGCATCGGCGTTTACCGAGTGGCATTGGCACAAAGCAGACCGTTGACGGGGTCACGTGTCAAAAAAGTATCAACAAAGTGTCGACTATGTGTCGACCACGTGTATAGCGGTACACTCAGCGGTACACTAATTCTCGTGCCATTCTCGTGTCACAAAACTGGAACATCGAGTACCAGTATGGAAAGGCTTCAGACAGGAGGCCTTTCCAATAATCAGCAGGTTTTGCAGAAAACTAGCATATTCTTGCGAAAACTAGCATATTGTTGCAAAACATGCGGATTTTCGCGAGGCGGGCGCGCAGCCTTGATCATGCATGATGATGATAATGTGGCAGTACAGACTGCAGTGGTGAGGACGGTCGATCGGATCCGTACGGGACCAGTCGATTGCAGAGAAATATACACGCAAACTAATAATAGAACTGTGTTTGCATCCGACAACACTGGCTCACTTGAAAATATTGTAGCCCTCTACTACTGACTGTAACCAGGTAACTAATACTTACTTGTAAGTAAAATTAGTTGTACCAAGAGTAGATAAACATTTATGTACTCTTGGTTGTACTAGTATAGTAGTAGATCTATGACTCTGGCGGGGAGTCTGGGCACAAGCGTTGGGAAAAAAAAACTTGTGATGGGTGAGAATGGGAGCGTTTCGTTTCCACCAACTATAACTTTTGCTTATTATTCTTTGTTAGCTGATGAAGAACACACGTCATGGCTATGTCCGAGCAAGCAGCCAGAGACATTGTTGATCTAGTAAGGGCGCGTTCAGACTACCGTGAACCCCGTCAAACCGTGAATGCCGATAAACCGTGAAGGACATTCACACTACAGATAAAGTAACGTTACCGGTACGCACGTTTTGCACCTCTCACCGCGGCGCTGAGAAGGGATTTTCCCTTTTTCACAGCGCGCATGCAGCCTGAGCACTTTTTTACTGCCGGGAAAACTTTACTGCCGCAGCAGCCGCGGCAGTAAAACTCTTCCGCCGGTAACGTGCCAGTAACGTCACGTGATCAAATCACCTTGGCAACTTTTCGATTCCGTCACTTTTTATCGGTAGTCTGAACGCGCCCTAAGCAGTAGCGATGATCACTTTGATTCCGAGTTTGTCGATGAAGACGCATCAGAATCAGAGTCCGAAGAGGACGAGGTCAGGACAGCGTGTGAACGTCTTCCCGAACCAGCCAGAGCAGCGATTTCCCGAAAACGATCTTTCCAGAGAAGTGGGAAGGAGTCCGTCGCTAAGCGTGGGCGAATTGCCGGTGGAAGTTCCACATTGACACCTCGTGTCAGCGTCCACCATCGCGTGCAGCTATTTCCAGGGGAATATTTGAACGTGTCCAGTGGGAAGATTTACTGCAGTGCCTGCAGCCAGACAGTTCAACCGAAGAACAGCATTGGGAAATCACACATTTCGAGTCAATAGCACAAGACGGCCAAAGAGCGAAAGTCACGAGCCCAGCTATACCAGCGAGCGCTAACAGCTTCGTGGGAGAAGTACACTACAGACCATAAAAAGGAGCTGGCAGGAACAGGGCTGTCTGGTGCTGTAGCCAATGATGTCCTCATTCGAAGAGCCAGTGTTGTAGAGTCTTTCCTCAAAGCAGGTGTGCCTCTGAGTAAGATAGACCACCTTTGTCCGTTGCTTGAAAGCAACTACTAACGCATGACGTACATGCAGCACTCACATGGCACAGTTGGTGCCATTCCTGTTGCAGAATGCGCAGTCTACCATCAAGAAGAAGATTGCATCTGCAGCTCATCTCACCGTTATTTTCGATGGTACTTGACGCCTTGGTGAGGCGCTTGCTGTTGTCCTCCGCTACGTCGATGGCGATTTCAACATACACCAACGCCTCGTACCTTTCTCTGTACTGTCCTAAAGCCTAGCTGGTACCGAACTAGCTCGAGAGCTCATCACAGTTTTGTCAACACAGCTGCAAGTTCCAGGCCACAAGGTTCTTGCCTTGGTCCCAGACTGTGCAGCTGTTAATGGTGTTGCTGTTAGTGGAGTTGCGTGAAGTCCATCCGTGACACTTTTTGACCCCATATAAAGTGACATTAAATTGAGCATAACGAGCATAACGAGCATTAAAACTAGCATAATGTGCCACTTTTACTAGCAGTGCTAGTAGCATAATTGCCGAAAATAACTAGCATTATCCGCCGGGGCCTACCTATGGTAGGCGGACAACCGCGGACGGACTTGTGCTTTTTCACGTGCTAGCTGCCTTCAAAATTCGAATATAGGCCCAGGGCTAAAAAACGAACCATTATTACTGATTTATTTTCCCGGAAAATGCATTATTTCATATATTAGCCCATGGGCTTACATGTATATGCGCGGAACTACGGTACACGCATCAATGTTTTCTGAAACGAAATTGGTCAACCCCTCCCACCCCACAAAGTTTGATAATTGTGGATGACTCCTAACCAAGAGAAAAAAACTGTGCAGTAACCATTCATTTATTGGTTATGGAAAACTACAATAGTAATAAACACGTGGGAGATAACGTGAAAGGAGTATGTTCGCAACCGTTACAGTGAACATACGTAACTACGGATGAAAAACAAATAAAACACTCTTATATGGGGAGAACATAAAATAGAAATGAATAAAATATTGAAATGCATCCACGATTGATGCTGTGGTGATGTTGCTGTGTGATCTGTCTTTATCCACACATGTTGGAAAGATCAAACTTCAGAGAATTTTTTCTCAGCTTCTTCCAAGTGCAGCTAAGCACCCACTTTCACGTACGGTGGACCAAATTTTTGGGGCGTATTTAAAACATATAGGGTACCCCGTAAGAAGGCCTTAGGCCTGTGGGAATGCCCTATTAAAAATTTAATAAATAATAATAATAATAATTTACAGTGAAATCTGTAACTAACGACCGCCCCATGGGTTCGAGAAAGCGGTCTTTAGTGGCAGGTGGTCCTTATTTAGAGGTTTGCACCACACAACCATAATATATATGTAGGACTCAGTATAGAATCCATTACCCATATAAAAACCGCTCTGTGAGCGGTTCTGAAAAACCTCTACTGGTGCAGCCCCGTCGTAAAAGTAAGAAATTAGAACTGGCGCATTGTCCTCCCAAATGTGAACTGATCCACCTAAATCGCGATTGACGGGACCCGAACGCACCAGTAGCACGAGGTTCCTACCTGTGGATGCAGCTGTACTGGGGACGGTGGTCCATAGCCAAAGCCAAATCGGCAAAGGTGGGCTTCGGGGTAGATCTAAGTGTTGTATGGTAACTTGTTCTCTGAGCGCCGACGCCGGCTGTGATCCTGTGCCCTCCCGACCTCGTGCTACTGGTGCGTTCGGGTCCCGTCAATCGCGATTTAGGTGGATCAGTTCACATTTGGGAGGACAATGCGCCAGTTCTAATTTCTTACTTTTACGACGGGGCTGCACCAGTAGAGGTTTTTCAGAACCGCTCACAGAGCGGTTTTTATATGGGTAATTTCAGCTCTTTTTCTGTTCCCTCCCCCACCCTAGCCCAGCTCCGAAGATAAACATGGTGAGCACGCGCGCGATGCACTGTATGTAGCCATGCAACTGCAGTAGCACACTGATACATTCCAGCCCTCCCCACCTCGCTACCCCGCACACAGACACCTTGTGACAAACACGCACATGGACATGGCACACACACACATGGGCACGCACACACACACACGACCCAAACAGGAAATTCTTGATGAACATTGTATAATGCCATGCAAAGCAGTGGCCACCATACTTCAGGAAGTCAGTTGTGAAACAAAAATAATTCAACTACAATGTGTAGGTAAGCTAGCAGCCAAAGCACAACATTGCAAACCGTGATGATATTTGCCTAAGGATTGCAGTTTGCAGACCACACCATGGAAGCAGTGAATACAGAATTATTGTAATGTCATACAAAGACGAGCAAAGAAGTGGCCACCATACACCAGACTCGTCCGAAGATCGTAAGTGGCAGATCCTTTTCAACGATAGCATGCAGGTGTACGTTACACGCATGGACAAAATCTGACCGTGTCATCGGCATACATTGTCATCACATGCATACCCCACAGGTTACACACATGCACAGTAGAAGCACAATAAAAGCAATGGAAAAATATGAAGGGGTTGCTGAAGCATCTTCACACTTCAATTTCAGACTTCGATGTGGTCGTCACGGGGTGATATACCTGCAAGATACACGTGATACAGAAAGAAAGCATAAGGTCGTGAGGTAGGCTATGAGACACCACAAATGGGTCACCTACATGTATGTTCAGGGCTGGTGTACACACACACGCAGAATTATCATAATCGAGAATTTCCCAAACTACAGAAGAGCAATGAAATCCATTTGCATGCACAGGAGCAATTTTGCAGTATGATGCGCAGCTCGGGAATACACCTGTTGGCAATGGATTACATTCCCATTGGAATTTCCATTCACGTGGGATTCACAGGAGCAATTTGGCAGTGTGCTGCGCAATGCGACACGACCTGCGATTCTGCGTGCGATGCAAACTCGCACAAAATACCATTCACAGAATCACGACAAGACGTCAGCGATGCAACAGCGCCTTGCTGACGTGCCTCAAGTCAAACCTCAATGAGAATGCGTTTGTCGGTTACAACTGGTACAAATGTACAAGCAATGTCTGAAAATGCTCCTGTGAATCCTGCTTTAAGCAGTGCAGGAATGTCCCTCCTCCGCTCCCCCCCCCCCTCCACACCCTCAGGGAACTTGACAAGGAAGGGTGGTCTTCGCGGTTCCCAACATCTATTTGCAGTTTCTGGTCTCCACTATGTCTTTTCAATGGGATTTGTACGTACCATAAAAGCAAGTCTAAAATGAACAGCACATTTGCCGTTCCCCCACTGGGGAGGATGCGTTCCAAAGCTATCCTGACAAGATACTCCGAGAAGCGGTGCTGAGTGCAATGCATTGTGAAACTGAAAAAGCTGACCAAGCCGCGGCATATAACGTCTAAACTTCAATTGTAGTTCGCCAGCTGACTACTTTCAGACTCCATGTAGGTTGGAGTACAGCTGGCTTAGAAGTTTGACAACGGCGCACGCACATAAGCAATGGCCACCTTACCTGTACTGTAGCAGTACTTCCGAGTTCCCGTATGGGAGTTCCCTCACTGTGTGTGCAATAGCAGCCTCATCGGACCAGTTCAATGCGACGCGGACAGTCCGACACTGAGGAGGACATTGAAGAAGTCAGAGACAGGAAGAATGGTTGATTTACAATTCAACTAGCAAGGCTGCACACCAACGAAGTTCCACTCACCATTGTGCCGTCCTTCTTGGAATGCAGAAATAACGCTTCTTCTCCAGAACGCAGCCTGTGACAGAGAAAAAGGAAGGAGCATCGCCATCGGCATTGGTCCTCTGCTATCACTGATTGCCGAGTTGCACAGTTCACTCTAACAAGACTGAGGATGTTCAAGAACTCCCCATCCATACCATTATTGGGGTAAGAGGAAAGGTCAGATTGCCTAGTTCCTAGGGCCTAGCATTCCTGGATGCCAGGATGTGCTGCCCCCCCCCCCCCCTTCTACTGCCTGGAAAGGGCAACATATGTGACAGCGTTCACCAGTACAGTCGGAGGAGAACATGGGAGAAGGCAAAAAAGGGCAACACACATGAATCCCTTATAAACAAGCAGTGGCAACTCTAGCACCAGCAATGTTGCACTTACATCCCAGCCATTGCCGCCGGATTCAGCGGCTTCTTCTTCTTCGTTTCCCATCTTGCAAGCACTCCTTCCCGTAAGTTCAGTCCTGGGATCGGGAGTACAGTCGGAGGAGGACGTCGGAAAAGGCAAAAAGGCAACACACATGATTCCCTTATAAGCAAGCAGTGGCTACTCTGGCACCAGCAATGTTGGACTTACATCCCAGCCATTGCCGCCGGATTCCCACGCTTCCTCTTCGTCGTCTTCCAGCTCCCAGGTTCCATCTTGCAAATACTCCTTCCCGTAAGTAAGTGCAGTCCTGGCCTGGGTGGATGCGCAGTACATTGACGATGGCGGAGATGGAGCAGGTCAGGGAGCCCTATAGGGGTCCCGAGAGCAGATTGTGGCCAAATTCGGGACGATGCCGGACGCCAGTCAGTATGAAGTAGCGAATTGCGGACCGCCACGTAGATTGGGGTCGCGGGGTCATAATCCACGGGCACTACTCGTACGTTGCTCCAAAAAAGGGCACTGCACTGTTCCACAGTTGCTGTTAGCGGTCGCCAAAGGCACTTGGTAGGACGGTAATTGGGTCACGTGTCAACAAAGTGTCAACAACGTGTCAACAACGTGTCGACCACGTGTCTTTAGCGGTACACTAATTTTGGTGTCCCCAAACTGAAAACATCGAGCACCAGTATGGAAAGGCTTTAGACAGAAAGCCTTTCCAATGCACTATAATTATGATGTCCAGCACCCTATATAGAGTCCATTGGTCCAAAATCCACTATACAGAGTCCAGGAGTCCACTCAGTTTTGATCAGCTTCATCCTGCCGCGCAATCCCCTATAGTCCTAGGGCCCATTTGAAATTTCTCACTTTTACTTGACACATGTTTGCTAACATGGATTTTATGATCATTCCTGAATGGTTTTTGCCTCCTGAACACGATGGCATAGGTTTCGATTGCCGAATTGTGTCCGAACATGGTGAAAAACATCAAAATAGAAAAGGCCGTTATTACCATGGCAACCTAACTAGAATTGCTCCTATATCCATTTTTACTGACACGTATATGGCCAAGTAGCACCTCATTTTGCTCAGAATAGGCAGTAGATACAGTACGGCGGCAAGTACTGTACTTTTACAGTGTCAAAACAAAATTTCCAAAGTGCAGTGAAACTTGGCTATTGGACATGTGCATTGTACATGTACATTACATGTCGCGTCGAATGTTAGCATTGAGGTACGTGTACATGTATGTGTAGCTAGCAGGTACATGAGACTATTTACATGCATGCATGCATTACTATAATTATCAGACTGCAAACACGAGAGAAGCGTCAGACGGTTCGGCGTTTCACTTCAACTGAGAGAATAGGTATTGTAACCCAAGTACTGACAGAAGAAGGAAAAGGTGGTAGGAAACCGTCAGAGTCCAAGGAAAGAAGTGCTATAGCCTAGGACAGTTGCAACCTGAACTAATTTACTCGAAGTACGTGTAGATAATACGATAGATCTCACAGCAATGTAAGAAGGACAGCACTACTTGTATGCGATGGCAGTGCTGTAACGAAAAAATGTTGAAAATGAAAATACCAAAATCCTTTGCATACTAGTAGATATTAAAACAGTCCAAACATTGGCTAGCTTGTCACTATACTTAAATGCTTTGAAAAGACTTCAAGACTGCAGTTGGACAACACTCACATGTGACTAGCTGCAGTTTAAAAAGCTGATCGATCCCAACATTGTGATGTGAATACTTTCGCTTCCATGTGTTTCACTTTAATTGAAGTTGTTCTTCCGTCTGAGCTTTGGAAACTCTACGCCGTACAGCTGAGCCCATCTCTACTCCGCCATCTACACCATCACTGTTGGCTCTGCAGTCAGGGACAATTATTTAGCCACTAGTACATGAGGTATTATAAACATGTTTTCCCTCTTCACCGCCGCTCTTGAATCGCATCAACTACGTGTCGTGATCAGTTCAGGAGAGACAAGCCATGCCATTGGACAGCGGACTCTTTCTGCACAGGCGCGTGCTCGGCGATCGGCACAGGGGGCACGTGCACCCCCCAAACATTTTCAATCTGGGTAATTGCAATTGTAATGTATGCAAATATGCTCTAAAATTCAAGAAAGGTTGCAAACAAATTGCAGAAAATTGCCGGGGGGGGCTCCCCTCGGCTCCCGTGCACCCCCCTAGTTGGGGGGCCGAGCACGCCCCTGCTGCAGTTAGTGTTTTATAAGTATAACTGTAGTTTCACACTGCCTAGGTCCAGCCATCAAATTCTGCGACAAGGAAATGATTCTTCTACTGCTGGTGTTGCATATTGTGATAGGTTACCTCCAGGTACTCGGATTTCGTTTTTGTAACACTCCACACCACTTAGCTACGCCCTCTCACTGCAGCATGCCACTCCTAAGGCAGTTGTCCTGGAGCTGTTGAGCTGGTAAATAGGCTTTGTGCAAATGGTAGCTGATCACCGCGGTCGTTGAGTTCAAATCATGGTACTAACACTAGCCGCTCTTGTAGATTCGAATCAAATGCTCGTCCACCGCATGCAGCCGTCCTGTCACGGCTGCATGCGCTGTGTGTTGTGCCCGAAAAAAAAACACCTTTTCAGTTTTGCTTGCCTCGTGGCAGCGCATTCCTTTCTTCACTTCAGCCATGGCTGCCAGTTCTGCTGTGCAGTTGCTGACAGTAATCTGTCTCGAGGTAACCAAGGAGGATAAGGAGACGTTCAAAATCAAATCTGGAAAGCGTCTTGTGGTTCTCTGAAGACGTTTCATCAGTGCGCGGGATGAAAGCAGAAATTGCAGAACGAGAAAAGTTCAGCACAGTTCAAATCTGACGAGTCAGGTACACTGACACTCTCTTTCGTTCGACGCCACAAGGAACCCCTGTTTGGCTGGCCATTGCTGGCAGTAAAACGTTTGAACGGTTTCATCAGAGCGAGGGATGAAAGCAGAAAGCGGAGAACGAGAAAAGTTCAGCACAGTTCCAATCTGACGAGTCAGATACACTGACACTCTCTTTTGTTCGACGCAACAAGGATACCCTGTTTGACTGGACAAGAGCTGCCTGTACCACCATGTCAAAAGGCTGTCCAACTACATGGCAGGACGATGACTGAGGTAAGGAAGCTTTTACTCGTTTCGATTGGTCTGCTGTTCTGTCGTTATGCTTGAATTTTTTTCCATTTTCAAAGAGCGTATCGCTTTTGTTTGATGTTGCTTGAATGAATGCCCTAAAAGTAATCAACCACTTCGTAATAGTCCTCAAGGACTGCAAGGACTTTGCATCAATCGTATACGATCGTCTAGCTATCATCAATTATTATTTTATTTCATGAGAAATGTATTTTTATCCCTGTGATAATTATGTGAACTCCACGACACTCTTCCTGTTGTAGGCTCTAGTATGATGTCAAATACAATAGGATCCACAAACGCAGTGCCAGTGTACTACTAGTAGTAGTAGTAGTAGTAGTAGTAGTAGGAGGATTTCTTGTATGCCGATGACAAGAAAAAAGCTTCTCAAGCTAATACATATACTTGTATTCCATGAAGTAACCGTTTTGATGTCACAAACATGACATTGTGTCAGTGAAACTGCCTCGTGACAACACATCATTGCATTTCCATCTTTGGGAAGACTGACTGACGGCAACGCTGTACGGATTGTTCAAATCATCTCATATCAATTTAGTTGCAGTGAAGTGAAACACTGTGCACACTACATGTATGGTGGTGTGTCTGTGCGTCTTGAGTGTGCACAAACGATCTTATTCCTCGTATTACTAATAGATTATTGTCCCCACCCTCACCTGTTCACAGGTCTTTGAGTGGATGGATTTTCATTGAGCATCACATTCGTTCAGAACTTGGTAGTTGTGTGCTCCCATGCATCATTACGGTAATAAGCGTATCCTTGTGCAATCTATTTGTTGCAGGTGTGCTGATCTTCAGAAGCTTGCGGAACTGAGTGCTGCTGAACATTTGCATGGCCATGAGCAATGGTGAAGCTTGCTACTGCACTCTCAGCATGTGCTAGTATTATGCTGACTACTGCACTATGTTACTCTCTTACACTACTACATGCATGTAAACGTGCGTGCATCCGCCCACGTATGCATTCGTTTCGTATTATTATTTGTTATCCCTCTTGACTTTACGTGTAAATGGGTGGACGTTTGCATGGCTGTTGGAGTTGATTGTGTATTGTGCCTCTACTCTTTTCTTGGCGTTGTATAAGTTTGTGTGTGTGTGTGTGTGTGTGTGTGTGTGTGTGTGTGTGTGTGTGTGTGTGTGTGTGTGTGTGTGTGTGCGCGCGCGCGCGCACAATAATTTGAAAACAAATAATTAATCCTTGGCTCTCCATTATTCTTTTTCGATTCTTGTTTTTTTCTAGGTATTTTCTTGGCGTTGTGTGTGTGTGTGTGTGCATGTGTGTGTGTGCGTGCACAATAATTTGGCAACACTACATGATTGAGATATTGTAATTTGCAGCGTCTGCGAAGAGACCACTTGACTTGAGGATGGTGTTTGTATGGTGTTTCGTGTAATGAAGTGGCTGCAGTGGCGCCTCAATACTTATTTTTTATATCTTGAGAAGTGAATGATGTAAAGGATTAAAGGGAGAGGCCGTTTCTTATTAATATTCGCTGCTTACAGCAGATCCTATGTCTAATTTGGAACTCTGGATAGGGGATGCTTAATTGGCTGGACTTTATACAGGGAGTGTTGTCCACATAAAGACTCTTTATAGTTGATTTCAAAGTTTGGACTCCGTACAGTTGATTTTGGACCAATGGACTCTATATAAGGGTGAAGCCAATTGGCTGGATTCTATACAGGGAGTGATGTCCATCTAAACTTTGAGCTCACAGTTGATTCCAAGTTTGGACTTAGATATGAATGTGAGACCGTCCGTGCCTGGCAATGTGGTCTGTAGTACCAGTCTGGTCGCTAGTCACGGTGGTCTTTAATTACAGCCTTTGCTGTATCCCCGAGATGGGCTGCATTTTCGAAACTTACACTGCTGTCAAGACTGATTGCACAGTGTTAGGGAAAACTTGGCTATGGCACACGGTGTATCTGAATATCTCGCCATGACAGTCTTTCCTATGTGAATTTCAAGAGCATAATGTTTCTCTCCATAGCTGGAAAATCGTGTGCGACTTATAACGGTCGTTTCAAGCAGGACCTCAAGTTCTGCTGATGGTAGCACACTTTCTTCTGGGCTGTGTTCTATCT